AGGATCAAATTAGAGAAATGTTTGAACTTTGAGAATCAAATTGACGAAATTAAAACTTTGAAAACTAAAATGCGATAAANCTGTCACGTCCAAAACACATGATATTTTCCGTCACTTTTTTTAAACGGCAATTAGTTTCAAGGATCAAATTAGCGAAATGTATGAACTTTGAGAATCAAATTGACGAAATTAAAACTTTGAAAACTAAAATGCGATAAACATTAAATCTCACGGATTATTGGTGCAATTTACCCTAATATTATTTGAATGTAATATAATATTATAATTCATTGAGCTGAATCACTACTATAAAATTTAGACAGAATCAATAAAACCAATGAATTGAGTTCCAACTACATTGAGCACTTAATTATAACTTTATATAAAATGTCACTAATGCCCTTCGGCTTTTCTCAAATTTCATAGTTTTTTGCCTCTAAAAATTCAATACAAACAAGAAATTTACTTAATTGTACAACACGTAAATCTTGACTTACACTTAAATAAAAATTTGAGTCACGATTTGAAATAAATTTTATTTTGTTACAAGTCGATAGTTAAAAGTAGGAAAAACGAAGGATTATAAACATTTGGTGTTAATTTGATACAAATAAAGATTTGGGTTCCCTCCAATTGGAGTAAATATTGAATGTAATGATAATATTATATCACCATTGGTGATATAGAATCACCAACTAATAATAAAACTCAAATGAGAAAAGTGAACCTCACTTGGGCTTACATGACAAAATGGTAGGGAGTTATTTGCTTACATAAAAAGTTAGTTATTGATTTTTGTGACGTCTATCTACTTATTTATTGTAGTATTATTTGTTAGTGATACCACATCACCTTGTCATGTGGTATCACAATTGTAATGAATATTTTCTCCTTAATTTGTTATGAGTTTGAGTAAATGACTAAAGCTTATTTTTAATCTGTTTTTATAAAAACTAAATTTTGAGTCAGAATGTGTGTAAGAATTGAAATGTTCTAAAGTTCTAACAATCTAAACTTATCTATTTCAATCTTTTTTCATCCGTTATCTTTCTTCTTATCTACCCACGGAAATCATGTGTACAAATATTGTATTTGGTAGGTGTTAATGAAGCATGGGATTGAAATGACCATTACCCGATAATGCTCGTTCTAATGCTTGGTATGTAATAATGAAAATTCATTACCAAGGAATGTCTAATCCCACCAATATAGATTTGTCAATCATTAATATTTGGTTGTATTTCCCCATTCCAACTACCTTTACTTGTTGCCACCATCACCGCCACTACGAACACCACCACCTGAGGTTGGGTTCAGGTCCAAGGTTGAGACCGATTTTGGGTCGAGGGTTCGGGTCTGGGTTCTAGACCGATTCAAGGTCGGGGTTAGGATCAGGGTCAAGTCCGAATTCGGGTTTGGGGGGTTAAAGTTAGGATTCGGGGTCTAAGGTTCAAGTCCAAAACTGAGGTCTAATTCGTGTCCAGGTCCAAGGTCAAGTCCAAAGTCGAGTGCAACGTCTAGAATCGAGTTTAGGATAAAGTCTGGGTCTAGGTTTGAGTTATGGGTTCAAGATTAGGTCCAAGTCTAGAGTCGGGTCAGGAGTGAGTCTAGGACTAGGGGTGTACTCCAACATTAGGTCCGGGTCCAAGGTCGAGTCCGAGTCTAGGTTCTAACACTTAACCCTAATTATTATCAAACATTGAAATGACGATGTATATTTCATTTTGTTCTTATGTTCATTTCATCCTCACTTTTATTCTATTCTAATGTAAAATCATTAGTACGCAACGTTAGTGCATAAAAATAAAAAATATATATATTAATTTATTTTGGGAGGAAAAAAATTAATAAAAATAAGACACAATCAAATAATATAGTGTTTACATAAGAGACAAAAGTTTCATTGTAAGAGAGAACATATTAAGTCAAAAATATATATTTGGTCATATACCAAAGAAAGACGATAAAATCAAACTCACAATTTTAAAATTCAACAATTGCCATTAAACCAACTGAAAATATAAATAACACGACTACCTTATTACCTGTTGACCACCCTGCTATTGTTTCTGGTTGATGTAATATTGCGTATCCAACTCAAAACCCTCGAAATCTCACCTAAACTACACGAATATGACTGCTGTATCGATATAAATTTTTTAAAGTATCATACCAAAGCAATTATAAAATANGCTGAAAATATAAATAACACGACTACCTTATTACCTGTTGACCACCCTGCTATTGTTTCTGGTTGATGTAATATTGCGTATAATACACACCAAACAAATCCAACTCAAAACCCTCGAAATCTCACCTACACTACACGAATCTGACTGCTGTATCGATATAAATTTTTTAAAGTATCATACCAAAGCAATTATAAAATAATAATAAATAATTTTCTTAATTATTAAAAATTTATATCAAAATAAAATTGTTTGGTAGTGAAAAATGTGAGGCTCAGATCTGTATATTGATCAGACAAAGAGAATGCGACCACGCCATGGCTGCAACCCACGGTTGCAATTGAGAGAGAAAAACCATCCAATCTCTCCCTCGCATGCCATCCGGGTTGCCCCACCAAGATACGGGCCGGTTTGTCTCATGCCCGATTAACTCAGAACTCAGAAATCCATCATCACAGCCTCCTAGCAGTAGCAGCAACACAGACAGACAGACAGACATATATATATACATACACATGGATCCGCATCCACATTCATGTAAATGAGCAATCCAAAATGGATAAAATTTGAAACTGAGAGGATCCACAGTTTTTTTTTTTTCTTTCTTTTTGGTCAATTGTAAAGGGCTGTTGATTTTGTGAGAAAATATTGAAATCATCGGCACAAGAGGGGGTCAACCACCCTTTAGAAACATCCCATCCCTCTTTGAGCCTCATTCTGCTGAGAAATCTGAGTTGAGAGAAACCCTAGTTATGCCTTAACCGTTAAATTTATAGTGCCCCGGGTTGCGCTTTTACCCCTCTTTGACCTCTTTTTTACATCTTTCTACAACTTGTGGTAGCTGGTAGAGACATAAACCTACAAGGGTGTATAAGGCAAGTTTGGTCATTGGGTCTTGTGAATTGTAAAGGACAAGATGATAACTTGCGACGAGAAGAAGGACATTCTGGTCCTTTAAATTGATAGTAATACTAATTTTTTTTGATATGGTGTCACAATTTTTTTTTTGGGACAAATTTCTTTTACACCTTTTCTACTTTACTATATCTTCAAAGAAATCTCTTTTATTGTCAAAAACATCACTGATACTTAGGCCTAACAATCGTGTCGGGTGGAACGAATTTGTGTCAAAAAATCCTTCATTCATATCTCATTCGTTTATATAAACGAGTTCAACTATCACACTCATACACGAATCATTTATTTGACAGGTTACTCAATACAACCGGTGTGTCACCCGCTAAATAAGAGAATAACTTATAGTATTTCGAGTACATACAAAAAATCATCAACTTGCTATACATTACAAATGTTTGACCTGTTTACTATAATAATACTGAATCATGGCTGAGCAAAAAAATAAAGACAAAATATAAACATTAAATGACTACTAAATTTGAATGAGTGTAAGAGATGAGAGATGTGAGATGAGGTAGAGGTTGAGAGACCTAAATTTTTTTAAAAAAATTATAGTACAACTGTTAATAGGTTAAATGGGTTGAAACGAATTAATGGGTTAAACACAAAATCGATTCATTTATTTCACGGGTTTGTCGATTTAACCGGTTAACCACCCGAACCGGTTAACACTATACCCAAACCCGCTAAACACGTGTCAATTTCAAGAGTCGTGTCTAGAATTGTTTGGCCTAGTGATACTCATTTTAATTTATATTTAAACATTACTGACACCCCTACTATTCAACCACCATTTATAACAAAAATAAATTATCTCAAATGTCAAAATTATCCGTACATAAACCCTAAACAATCTTTTTACATAAAATTCGATTAAAATTTGAACTGATTAAAATTTATTTTTTTACATATTAAAATTCGGGCTGATTTATTTTTTTTTTTAAATATTAAAATTTGAATCAATTAAAATTCGATTTGAGACGATTAAATTTTTTTTTACATATTAAAATTCAAAACAATTTAAACTCTACTTGAACTGTTAGCCCCGATTAAAATTCATTTCTAATCGATTAAAATTTATATTTTTTATTTATTAAAATTCAATTTAAGTTGATTAAATTTATTTTTTACGTATTAAAATTTGAATCAATTAAAATTATATTTTTTATGTGTCAAAAATCGAGTCGATTAAAATTTAATGTAAGTTGATTAAAATTTGATGTGATCCTTGAATAAAATTTTAATTAGGTCAAATTTTAATAAGTAAAAAAATATAATTTTTAATCAATTCAATTTTTAATATATAAAAAATAAATTTTAATTAGCTAAAATAGAATTTTAATCAGCTCAAATTTTAATGCGTAAAAAAATTTAAAAAATATAGGAGATCTCATTTAAGATATGTCTGTCTAAAGGGGGTGCGGATGAAATTTTTTCTAAAATATATCATGAGTAATTTAATAAAATTGCATTCTAAATAACACCTTTAATCTGACGAGGCATCAATGAAAATTTAAAAAATAGAGGGGATGCCCTTGAAGATGTGATAAAATTTTTCCTTTTTTTTTTTTTCCCTTAATCAAGTCAAATTTTCCCTTGAAAGTGTGACTAAAATTTTCCCTCTCCCCCCCACCCCAGAGCAGAAATACTTCTAAAGCCTTTCATGGGATAGGAAAGAAAATTAGTTAAAGTGCACGTAAATTTAATCCAGACATTTCTAATCATTGAAAAAAAAAAAAAAATTAGATCCATCCATCAACTAAGTATTGTATACTTGCAATCACCAATTATTACTAAAAATATAACTTAGTCAAATAGTCATCAATAAGTTTTGTATACTTAGACCCATCCATATTACTAAGTTTTGTATACTTACAATACCATGTATGGATTTTACATAACCCCTCGACCTCTTTGTTGGAGTGTAATTTTCTGCACAACTTCTCCTGTCAAGGAAACTAAGTAGGTCACCTGTCACATAAAGATGATCTAGTTATTGATTATCAATATTTTCTTCAAAATGTTAAAAAGGACGAAATGGGACGAATGACACTTTACTTCTTGAAAGATTATAGGCGTTTTACTTTATCTATCAAAGATTAAAAGTCGTATAATACACCCTAAATCTCTTTAAACAGTAGCTATATATACCCCAATCACTAAACATCTCATTTTTCGTCTGCAACATCCCATTGCACGTGCCATGCACATGATTTGAGACAATTGATTTCAAATGGATGCAGAGCAATTTTTAATATTTTTCAGGACTCAGTGTCATTATGATAAGGGGATCAAGTTCCTTGCTAACTATCGACCTCGATTTCTTTTCATTTGTTTTGGGTATTATCAACCTAGCCTAGCCTTTGTCAATCCCACTAAAGCGCTCACCCACGTTACCCCCCTTAATCCTCCTTCTTTGAAAACCAAATGCCATCTAGTGATTGGGGTACACTGCTACACTTTTGAGAAATTAAGATGTTAAGGTGAGACACTTTGTCATCGAGGAAGCAAAGTGAAAATTTCAAAATCTTCAGAGTGCAAAATGCCATCATCAACCCAAGAAATGTGAAACCAAGTTCAAATATAGAAAGAGTGACACCCACAATCTCAAGGGAGCTGACTCTATGAAGTAGGAATCCAGTTGTTCTTTCCCTGAGGAACCCAAAAAGAAGAAGATGAAAAAACTTATTGATGAAACTGTACATGCAACTCTATCACAGAACTCCAATGTAAACTACGACAGAAAATACTCACTTATTAAGGACCAACTTATTATCCATGAAAGAAAGGTAAGGACCCTTTTCAATTGGACCTGCATTGTTGTTGTGCATTATACCTCCCTTATGGACATAGTTAGAACAAGCATGCCCGCTGATGTACGCATTCTACAGCAAATGCACAATTAAAAGAGTCAATTCTCCCAGGGAACACTAGCAAGGTTTGAATCTCCCTGAAGTTTGAAAGCAGCTCATCATAGCCATTTCAAACTGACAAAGTTTAAGAGATTCCAAATAAAATTCACATTACCCATAAAAGAGTCCTTGGAGTTCGATAATTCTTTGATTTTGACCATGTTAAAAAACTATAGAAGCTGGACATTGGAAATCTCCACTTACCACTCCATTTTTCAGAAATTCATGGTGCAGAGTCTCAAATTTTTGTTTTGCTTCTGTTTGCTCAATATTTTCATCGCAAGCAACCAATGGGTGGAATCCAACAGCAATGCGCCTGGATCCATAAAGCGGGGGAAAGGCAATTAATCATCGTGATGCTTAGCCTGTAACATATAAAAGAATATGAAGCTGGTCGGGAGAAGGATCATAATAGTTAACTGAAGGAGCCTTTTCCCAGACCATTTAACATAGGAAGGAAAATACATTGGGTGCATATCAAAATATGGAAAATTCATATTTCAAGTAATCTTTGAGGAAAAGACATAGATTAGATTTCATGGGAACATGAAATAATGAAACTTTCATCATACATTACTAGTAAAATAACTTTTCAAAACACGTCAGAAACTCAACTATTGCCAATTTTCCAGTAAAATGGCCAACAGTAGATTCTGAACAAATGAAATAAGCTTTAAGTTGCACATTGATATAGTCTGATTCACAACAAACCAAAAATATAAAATGTAGGTTTGTCTTACCAGCTACTATTGCTTGCTTCAAGTGTGCTTGTCAGCCATTGTAACTGATCATTTCCAGTGCCATTTGAAGGATCCTAAAGATCCCAAGGTTGTTGGAATTTCAAAATACAACAAAAAGGGAGGGAAGAATAGCTGAAATACTACAACTACAAACTTTAGTGTACCAATCTCCAGGATAACACATAAAAAAAAAAAATTATCAATAACTTTCCTCCTTCAGCAAGAAGGGAAGAGACAACCAGATAAGGCAATGTGCTGAGCATATACACCCAGAATCAGAAAAGAATGGCTATGAATACAATACACTCATTAGAAGAACAACACATTTGAAATGACCATGATGTTGTTCATACAATCGATGCAATATCCCAAAACAAATATATTCATGGGTGAATTTAGCCACTGAGGGTTCATTTACTCTAATGATAGTTAACCAACAAATGTATGAAGCCAATGCAATATCTGGAAAATTGTGGAAGTGATGTCTTGAATATATTCCTTGCATAACCTGCTATAAGTAATAGATCTAATTACAGGCTAATTAGTCAAATTTCCACAAGCTTGAGAAGTACATGCACTTGGATGATTTTGAACATGTTCACAACACGCCAGATGTAATATACACGCATACAGTGCCACGTAAATAGGTATATATCTATGCACATATGTTGGAGTCAATCCTTTTGGTGACTATCCTCCGCAGCATCGTAAAATTTTGTCAGAGGAAGCAGCTCCCCTGCTAGTACCACATTCAAAACACTCTACAAATTAAGAGTGCATGTTTGAAACAGAAAACCCAGCTTGCTAGACAGAATCACAGAGTCTGCCCACTATGACTTGGTCATAAGAAAAATAACAATAAGAATAATTAAAATATTTATGAGTTATCGTACTTATTTCATGAGTAAGGAATTTTTTTTTATCCAAATTAATTTAGGTGCCAAAAACATAAATAAAGAAGAAGACCGACTATCTTAAATAAACACATAGAAAATAAGGTGATTGTAGCTAACAAAATTTGAGCTTTTGAAAAGTATTGAAGAATATGAGCAAGGTTCAATTGGATCCAAAATTTTAGTTTCAAAATGGTAAATTCCTAAAAACTATTTCTCACAAATTTCATTAACAATAAAAAAAAATCTCAAAGAAAAAAAAGGAAATTTCAAGTTTAAATTTTTTTAGAGAATTTCAAATCTCCATCTCCCCTTAGCCCCAACAACAAAAGAAAAAAAGAAAAATAAAAAATAAATTGTTTTCTTCTATGACAAAAGGGGAGTAAATATTGAATACAACAGTAATACCATGTCACCATTGATAACATGGTATCACCAATCAATAATAAAACCCCAAATAGACAAGATGAACCCCACTTGGACTTACATGAAAAAAGATTGGAGAGTTATTTAGTTACATGATAGGTTAGTTATTCATTTTTGTAGGATTCATTTGTTTATTTATTTTAATATTATTAGTTGGTGATACCACATTGTCTTGTCATATGGTATCACTATTGTAATGAATATTTTCTTGTCAAAAGGGACCATACATATGCCATGATTGAAGCCACATGGAGAATAGTCACCATTTGAGGTTAGTTCCCTACTTTCTACATCAAAGGAATTTTCCATTTCCTGTTGGACCTTTGTTGGGTAGGGTGTGAGGTAAATATTGAATGCAACGGTAATCAAGGATCAAAATATTATTTCGGTTTATTGTTTCGGTCACTCAGGAAATAGAAACGTTTCAACGTGTTTCGAAAACTTTTCAACCCGTTTCAAAATCATAATGAAAAAATAAAAAATTTAAAAATTATTTTTCTAAAATATTAATAAAATTATATCAAAATATCTTAAAATATCTTGAAACATTCAAAAACAATTGTGCAAATGCATTGAAATAATATAATACATTTAAAAACATTGTGGAATACCTCGAAATATCAGAATTTCGATTTCATCAACGTTTCGTTTCAGTCTCCTTGGAAACGGAAACGTTTCAACCATTTCAAAATGATATTTTGATCCTTGACGGTAATATCATGTTAGCAATTCTAACATAGTATCACCAACTAATAATAAAACACCAAGTGGATAAGGTAAACCTCACTTAGGTAGTTATTTGCTTACATGGAGGGTTGGTTATTAATTTTAGTGGGCCCATTTACTTATTTGTTTTAATATTATTGGTTGGTGATACTATGTCAGCATTGCCACGTGGTATCACCGTTGTAATGAATATTTTCTCCCGGGTGTGAGAGGAGAGAAAACCACTGAAGTGAAATTGTGCTAATTACAGCTAATGTATCCTATTTGTGGTAGAAACAAGACCTTTACGGCAAGATGTTGCACATCAGTGGAGAACCAAAAGGATCTCCACAAAATTGGAAGGGCTGCCAACTTAAGCAGATATGCTACAACATCAGAGGGGGAGCGAAAGAACATTCTATCCCGTCAAAGTAACAATAACAACGTTGATGGTAAGAAGAAAAGAGAGAGAAATATATAGGCTGCAGTAAAACACAATTCATACCTGTAATGACCCAGTGTCCACAGCAATAACATCTAATGTTTCTTCATTGGGAATTTCAATCTGCTTCACGAAATAACATGCTCCTTGCCCTTGCAAAGCTCTAGTTGTGTACCTANCAGCAACCAGGTGTAATTTAATTTTAAATCAATAAAATCTCCCTCACACCGTCAAGATTCCACCAAAAAAAAAAAATTAATAATTTCATTATCCGAAAAGAGGGTTAATTCTAATAGCATTCTATATGAAAAGTAGTCATACAAAATCATGTACGAGTCCTACAATCCATGGATTCATACCCACAACCAAAACTGAAAGCTTTCTGAATGAACTGAAGAACTTTGTCAAACCAACTCGTGTCCAAAAAGAGAAAGGGTGTCAAGCCCAACAAAGACAACAAGAAAATGTACAAACTTCCCAATCAATACGACTAAGTTGGCCATAACCACAAACAAAATTAAATATAAAATTCACAAAACAACTGGGAAACAATTTAAGAAGCATCAATTTTCTTTGGATACAGACGAAACCAATGAAGAGATAAGAAACTGACCAGTTTGAGAAGAAGGGTCTGTTCTTTAACGGGCCAAGACCCTCCTGTGACACTTATGAAGTAAGAATCAACAGGCCTGCGCTCACTTTTGGTTGAACATAAACGTTTCTGGGGCTGACCCATATGGAGAGCAAGGTAAAGACCCAAACAGAGAGAGAGTTGAGTGACAAATGTGCAAACCCATGATCTTTTCTCCATCTGTGATTCTCTGCCCAATCAGTGAAAGCAGAGGAGAGGAGATTGTGAGATTGTTAAGTCATGGATCTCAGAGAAAATCTGAACTCTCGCAAAGTCTCAAAGAGAGAGAACATTTTCAGTGCTTGGGGGGTACGAAGTTGGCGTGCATACTTGGTACTCCACACCAATTAGAAAAAGCCATCTCAACAAACGGTCAGATAATGGCAAGAAGTCGGTACCCTCTTAAGCACCGAAAAATTTTCTGCTCAAAGAGTGTTATCCTCTGTCAGAGTGCAGATGGTTGTCAAGTTCCTTCAGTCCACATACAATCAGCAAATTTGTTAGGCTTTCTTCAACAATTAAAGATTTACCGAGGCTAAATAGTACTAAAAAACATGTTAAGAAAACATAATTAAATAATAATAATAAAAGCCTTTTGTTGCATAAGACTAAAGTTAATCGAAAGTTGTATATTTTAACTTAATTAATTTGTTATTATTCAAATTAACAGATAATGCGTCACACGTCAAAAACATGTTGTGGACTTTATTTTTATTATTTTTCTTTAAAAAAATAGGTTGGGGCTATTTTTACTGCCACAAATTTTTATTTTCATCCCATTTAATTTTTTATTATCAAACTATTAACCTTACCTCTTTCATATACAACTCATTAGTAACTAAGTCTATCTTATACTACATACACTTTTTTTAATAAGTAAATTCACTTATATATTTTGTTATAATTAAGATTTTGTTTTCTATTTTCTCTTATGCACTCACAAAAATATTTTTTCAATATGAATTTTTTTAGTGAGATATAAGTTAGTATTACTTCACAATTTAATTTTATGTTTGATTTCATATTTGTTATATAAATTTTCATTATTTTCGGTATTTTTTGATATCTTTGTTAGGTCTAATAATTTTTTATTTATAATTTATATGTGTGTATATATATGTATACTTTCAGATTATTTATTCTTTTTTATCTTGTTAAAGTTTTGCATCTATACTTATTATTATTTTTTCTTATTCTATTTTGTATTTGTATTTGATAGTTATTTTTTTTTTCATATTCAATTTTGCTTCTTGTAATTTTTTTTTATTCCTTTAATCTTTGCTTAATTTTTTTTTCTTTCTTGTTTCAGTTTGCTTCTTTCTTTATGTTTCTTTTCCTTATTTTGTTATTTTGCTTTTTTCTTGTTTTAGTCTACTGTTTTCTTTCTTTCTTTCTTTTTTCTTATTTTAGCATGCCTGATTTTTTTTTACTCGTTTCATTTTTTATTCTTATTAAATATATTTATGCATTTAAACTAATTGTCTTTTTTTTTTCCTTACGATGACTTCTTTCATTAAAAGGGGTGTACATAGAATGAGTGTGCTTAATTATTAATAGGGTGTATGTAGCATGAAGTTAATTTAGTTATTAATGGAATGAATATAAAAAAGATGAACTTAGTAATTTGAAAATAAGAAATTAAATGAGATCAAAGTAGAAATTTGTGGGGATAAAAATAGCCCCACCCAAAAGAGTATGGTCCAAGTATCTAAAATACCCTTATAATATAGGATATGATACAAATATATGTCATTTTATGAAAATAGAATGAACAAATTCATAAAAACGAATTTAACAAATTTGCTTTTCAAAGCACATAAATATAGCAATTTTTTTTTAAAGCGGATTGAATAAAACTACCCTTTAAAAGTTAATTTGTAAAATTCGTTTTTTATATAAAAGTGAATTTATTGGCTCTACTTGAATAAAACTANATTTGTTATATAAATTTTCATTATTTTCGGTATTTTTTGATATCTTTGTTAGGTCTAATAATTTTTTATTTATAATTTATATGTGTGTATATATATGTATACTTTCAGATTATTTATTCTTTTTTATCTTGTTAAAGTTTTGCATCTATACTTATTATTATTTTTTCTTATTCTATTTTGTATTTGTATTTGATAGTTATTTTTTTTTTCATATTCAATTTTGCTTCTTGTAATTTTTTTTATTCCTTTAATCTTTGTTTAATTTTTTTTTCTTTCTTGTTTCAGTTTGCTTCTTTCTTTCTGTTTCTTTTCCTTATTTTGTTATTTTGCTTTTTTCTTGTTTTAGTCTACTGCTTTCTTTCTTTCTTTCTTTCTTTTTTCTTATTTTAGCATGCTTGATTTTTTTTTACTTGTTTTATTTTTTATTCTTATTAAATATATTTATGCATTTAAACTAATTGTCTTTTTTTTTTCCTTACGATGACTTCTTTCATTAAAAGGGGTGTACATAGAATGAGTGTGCTTAATTATTAATAGGGTGTATGTAGCATGAAGTTAATTTAGTTATTAATGGGATGAATATAAAAAAGATGAACTTAGTAATTTGAAAATAAGAAATCAAATGAGATGAAAGTAGAAATTTGTGGGGGTAAAAATAGCCCCACCCAAAAGAGTATGGTCCAAGTATCTAAAATACCCTTATAATATATGATATGATACAAATATATGTCATTTTATGAAAATAGAATGAACAAATTCATAAAAACGAATTTAACAAATTTACTTTTCAAAGCACATAAATATAGCAATTTTTTTTTTAAAGCGGATTGAATAAAACTACCCTTAAAATTCCCCTTTAAAAGTTAATTTGTAAAATTCGTTTTTTATATAAAAGTGAATTTATTGGCTCTACTGTCTATATGATGACGAATTTGTTGAGTACACTTTGAAATTTTTTTTGTTTAAGAGTAATGTTACGTGGATTTAAAAAGTAGATTTAAAAATTAGACTCAATAGTTTTAACCATTGATTTCACTATAAGTTCCATCATTTATTGAAATTCATTATTTATTCAATGATTGAGATTATCAAATCTAATTTTTAAGTTCAATTTTTAAACTAACGTAGCGCTTTGTTTAAAAAGCATTGTCCATTGGTAATAAATTCGGCCTAAGTTCCTGTCGGACACTTTTCATGATCTGTGTAATGTCTTTATCACAACATTAATGAACCACCACCTACCTAGGATATTTTTCTTAGGTTTTGAAAACACCAGAAATTGTGGACTTGCATGGTTTTGTTTTCAATTTTAAAAGATAGGTAATAATTACCCTAGAGGAATATTACAAAATTTAAATAAAATTTAAATATATATATTATCTCTTAAATGAATGAGTGTCATCAATTTTTTTAATAAAATTTATTCATCGAAAGGATGATATACAATTTGAGTTTTAATTTTTGAGTTATGTAACATTTTCCATCACGATATTTAGATAAGAATAATATCAAAAAGAGTAATGTTATAAAATTCAAATAAAATTTAAAAAATTATAACCCAAATATATATCATCACATAGATAAGTGAGACCCATCAAATTTTTCCTATCAAAAAGAGTAAAATAAGAATTAATTACAATTCTTCTTAAATTTATTAACTATTTAAAAATAATTTGTTGTGTTTTTTTTTTTTGATCAAACTACAACGACTCACACTAACAGTGTGAGGGTCATAATAGACATATAAACACACACACACACACTCTTTAAGACTATCTAATGGCCCCTAGCCCTTACCCTTCTAGGCACTATGGCCCCTCTGAATTTTTCTTTTCTTTTGATCAAACTATAACCACTTACGATAACAAGGGGCATAGTAGATATATAAACACACACACTCTTTTAAGTCTATCTGATATGGGATGAATAGAATTAAATTATAATAAATCAAAAAAAATTAGTCTAATTGACCACCCTTAACACTCGGGAGATCAATTGTTGTAAAAAGCAAAAATTGATACCACATATCCTTTTCACCAACAAAAAAGAACTTGGATACAGGCCCTTGATTGGTGGGCCAGTCTGGCCATCTGCAAAACGGCGACGTGTGGCTCAGATTGGATGGCCTTCATGCCGTGCCGAGTACTTAACCTCCTGTTACATCCATATCAGAAAATGGAGTAAATATTGAAGGGTAAAATTCAGTTTATCTCTCCGTAGTTTGTGCTTTAAGCAGATGACTCCCCTACCATTTAAAAATATGCACATTACCTTTATGTGATTATGGACTACACTGCAGCTCTCACTCCATTAAATGATGATTGTAAAAGTGTTATAATACTCTTAAATATATATGTGGTCTACCGAAGAGCCTTGGCCCTAAATGTCGTGTACCCAGCAACCGAGGAAGTCTCTTTCTCCTCTCTCTCTATCAGCCCGTGAACCCACAAAATTTTAGGACTTTAATTTTCTTATGATTTGAAGTTAGGGCTTTGATTTCTTGATGATTTGAAGTTAAGGCTTCGATTGATCAGTTAAATAGACAGAAGATTCAGGGCCAAAAATAAGGTTAGTTTATTTCCAGCTTTCATTATATGCTAAATTATGCATCGAGTAAAAATCTTTGTGTGTGAAAATCTTTATCACTTTTTTATTTTGTTTTGTGTTTGTGGCATAGATTTGTTGTTTATTGGCTTAGTGGTCCTACCACTAAGGATTTCCCTTTTAAATATTTGATTTTTTTGGGCTTGTGGTCACACCAAACTGTTCCATCTGTGAGTGTTTTTTCTAGTTTGTGGTCCTACCACATGTTGTATGGTCATTTTAGATGGGTAAAAGGGGACAGAGGTTTCCCCACTGTTTTGTTTATTAATGCATATCTTTTAATGCATAATGGGTTGGGACAAATTTGTTGTTGAACTGCATCGTGGAGGAAAGTTCACATGGACACCAAAAATTGTTTACAAAGGTGGTACTGTAAGTATGATGGAAGATTGCGAACCAGACAAATTTTATTTGCTTGAGATTATAGACATGTATGTAACAGTAGAAGGAGAAGGGGTGAATGTTGACATATATTATAGGGTTCCTGGGTACAGTTTGGACATGTGAGTAAAGCAAATGAGGTCAGATTGTGATGTTATCGAGTTACTAAAATGTTATGAAGACTTGTCAGTAGTTGTAATATACATTGATGAAGTTAACGTTAATGTCAACGAATATACTCAAAACAGTGATACACTTGAGACTGATTCTAATGACAGTGACTATGTACTGAATACCTCTGAATGTTATGACAGTGACGAGTATAGTGAGGACCCTAGTTGGATTTATGAAGACCTAGAAAGTCCAGATGATGATGACATTTTCAGAAGTGACTTTCCACCTAATAGGGTTGAAGCGTTTGTTAATCAAGATGTTGGACAATCTCAATCAACTGTAAATGTGCAAGTGGATGAGGAATGGTGTGCTGAAATAGGAAATGAAGAGGAGCTATTCAATCTAAAAGGGTCATCTGATAAAGAAGGTGATGGTTACCCTGAGTTCAATGAGAGAATGATGCTTGATCCCAAACTTGTGGTTGAGATGAAATTTACATCTCCTCAGGCTTTTAGAAAACTAATTAGGGAATACAATGTGAAGAATGACTATGACATCAAATTCTTGAAGAATGAGAATAGGAGAATCACTGCCATTTGCAAGTATGGGTGTGACTGGAGGATACATGCTTCACCAATTGGAGGGAGCAAAACTTTTTAGTTGAAGACACTAAAAGGCTCACATTCATGTGGTAGGCACTATGAGAACAAGCAAGCCAACTTAGGGTATTTGGGAGCCAAGTATATGGATGAGGTGAGAGATAATCCTAACATAAATGTTGCCTCATTTGCCAAGAAAATAAAGAGAGACTTAATGTTGAATTCAAGCAGGTTTTAGTATTACAGGGCGAAAAGGAAGGCTAAAGATGTAATAGCAGGTGATGTGGCTGAGCAGTATGTTAGACTCTGGGACTATTGTGAGACAATTAGGAAACATAACCCCAATAGCACACTTTTTTTGAAGCCTAAACATGGAGCAATGCAACCAACCGTTCAGAGAATGTATTGGAGTTTGGGAGCCATGAAAGAAGGATTTGTTGTTGGTTGTAGACCTATTATAGGTCGTGATGGTTGCCATTTGAAAGGGATATATGGAGGCCAACTTCTTAGTGCAATAGGTAGAGATGGAAATGATAACATGTTCCCAATTGCTTTAGCAGTTGTTGAGATTGAGTGTAAAGATTCTTGGAGTTGGTTTCTAACTGAATTGACAAGAGACTTGGGAAGGCATGAGGATATGGGTTGGGAGTTTATTTCTGATAGACAAAAAGGCCTTGTGGAAACATTTGAGCAACTGATGCCTATAGCACCCCATAGATACTGTTTCAGACATATGTATAACAATTTCAAGTCTAAGTATAAGGGTGTAGAGTTGAAGAAATTTTTCTGGAATGCTGCTTCAATTGCCAGTGTGAGTGACTTTAAATACTGGATGGCTAAGATAGAGCAGATTGACAAGAATGTTGTTGAGTGGTTGAAGCTTGTCAACCCAGCTTTGTGGACTAGATCACACTTCTCTACGAGAAGTAAATGTGATATTTTGCTGAACAACTTATTTGAATCGTTTAATTCATAAATTCTTGAAGCAAGAGATATGCCCATAATTAGTATGTTTGAGTGAATTCAGAGGAAACTCATGAGCAGAATACAAGTAAGGAGGAAGGGTATACACAATTATACTGGATTAATATGTCCTCGTATTCAGGAAAAATTGGAACAAAACAAGGTTGATTCAAGGAATTGTTTTCCTACTTGGTGTGGTGAGCTTGAGTTTGAGGTTGACCATTTTGATAGGGTGTTCATAGTGGATCTTAAAGCAAGAACATGTACTTGCAAAATGTGGGAGTTGTCTGGGATACCTTGTTGTCATGCGATAGGTGTCATATAATCAAATAATGAGCTACCAGAGACATATGTGCATGGATGTTACACATAAACTGTATATATGGCAGCATATGCACACATGATACATTCAGTCCCTGACATGCATGATTATGTTCATACTAGATTACACCCATTGAAACCTCTATTACTCCGAAAACTACCTGAAAGACCAAAAAAATTGAGGAGAAGGGAGGTAGATGAGCCTATAAACCCCTATAAGGCTTCTAGGAAAAAATTTAATGTCACATGTGCAAAATGCTTGAAGCCTGGTTACAACAGACGATCATGCAAGAACAGGATCCATCCTAAATCAAAGTTATTGAGGGTAAGAGTGATTTTTTAAATATCATTTGTTCATTATTTTTGTTTTTTGAAAAGCAAACTTATTATAAATTTTTTTGCTTTGTAGAAATCCATTGATGATGCAACCTCCATTGATGGTCCAGCCTCCAATGTTGTTGCTGCCTCTAGTGCTAATGGTCAAGCCTCCACTGTTGCTGCTTTAACTGCTCTTGCCGCCAATGTTGCTGCCTCTAGTCCTGATGGTCAAGCGTCCACTACTGCACCCTCCACTGATGGTCAAGCCTTAACTGCTGCTGCAGCATGCACTGTTGGTTGTAGAAGTGGTGCAGTTGGGAGATGTTCTGGGAGTCGGGCCGTTAACAAGTATATCCAACTTGTTCAACCTGCTAGAAATGTGCAACAAACAAACCTGTATATCCAACTTATTGGATAGAATTAGATTGAAAGTTGTGTGAAATAGGAGCTGGACCAACTTCGATTCCTTCCCCTATCCTCAAAGAAAGTCCTTTCCTTTCATTTGTTGTTAGATTGATGGGCACAAATTTATACACACACCTGTTCCCAAAAATCTACGGTAAATTACATCCATTTTCTCTCAAAATTTAGTCAAATAACAATGAAGTTCCATTACATATAAAAAATAACACTGAAACCTCTTATACTTTGAGTGTCAGTAATAGATTCTTTTAATCGTCAGTTTACAGTTAAAGAGACTTGAAAAATCTGTTGATGTAAGTAATTTATTTTTTAAAATACCAAACTACCAATATTACCCTTATCATGGTTAGATTTAACTTATACTTGCAGTCAAACTAACCATATCTACCATATTTATAGCTCAACCTTGTTTTCAAATAGTGGAGGTGGGGGTGGTTTGTGCATTTTTTTTGTGTGATTAAATATTAGGCTATTACCTAATTAAGTTTGTTTCCAAACCAAATTTGAGTTTTAGCACAAAATTAAATAAATTATAGGAATTGGTTTGAATTTTGAGATAATTAATCTAATTAATTGAATGGATTTAAATTTGTTCAAGTTTGCAATAAATTTGATTTAATTAACAAAGTTAATCAAATTTGGTACGAATTATGGATAAAATTAATTAGATTTGATTTTGAAAATAAATATTATTCAATAAATAAATTGATTAGACTTGGTTTGACTTTGGTAACAAAATTTATGGAATAAATAAAATTTTGTTTACTTTTGGATAAATTATATTATATTAATTAAGCAACTTTGTCCTTCAATTCTATTATATCAATGTGGCAATTTGCAATTGACTGTTGTAAAATTAACTAAAGGTCAATAAGTAAACAATATTTTGGATTACGGGCATTATAGTCATTTTGTGTTACTATTAGAAATATAGAAACGGCCGTCACTGACTGGGGAGGTCAAATGGCACTGGTGGGTATTAAGAGGGAGGGGTGATGGTGTGAATACGATGGTGGTGCGTAGTGGCAGTTTGGAGGTTGGGTAGGGGTGGAGAGTGATGTTGGATGGTGGGTTTTGGATTGGGGTGGTCTTGATCTATAATAGGATTGCCAATAAATTGTGGAGAGAATAACAATTTTTAAAACATATTAAATTGAGTAGGTGGGGGTGGGAATATTCCCACCAACACAAAATGTGGGAGTGTCAACTCTGATCCATTGATACTAACTTGACAAAAATTTGACATGACACGATTATTAAATACGCATAATAAATTGTCTAAACTAATGTTTGACATTTAAAATACACTAAATAATTTTTTTTTGTGGGTCTTGACACGAAAACAACACGAATAACAATAGCACGACACAAAAAATATACGACACACGGGTCAAACGACACAACACGAATTGACACCCCTTTGTAGCTCCAGTGAATCAAGTCTCTTGATTAATCGGTTTCACTAAAACAGGTGAAAAACTTATAACCAAGGAGCTTAAATACCTTTCGTCTCCGCAACGGACTGGCTAAGCATCAGGACTCCTCCATTATCTTCTCCAGATCCCAATTATCATAAAATCAATCCAATCCACCTCGATCAAGCATGTCTACCAAAGTCATCCTCCTTGGAAACCTGGGTGGCAACCTCAAATACATGGCGTCCTCGATCTCAATTGGAAGATGCGTGGCTACGATGACAATACCACCCTTTTTTCGGTGCTCTGCAATAATATATTCCAGCAGCTTCACACCTTCACCATCCAATGCAACTGAAGGTTCATCGAGCAACCAAATTGGCCGATCAATAGCTAGCAACCTTGCGAGCTGTAGCCTTTTTCGTTGACCCATGGACAGCATTCTTGCTTTCTCATTTGCCAGTCTCCCAAGGCCCATAAGCTCCAGAGCAGGCAGAGACATCCCTTGCTTGCCTTCAAGAACTTCAAACCACTGAACATTGTCAAGGACTGTGAACTTTTCTTTGATTGCATCTTTGAGGGAGAGCCAGTTAAGCTGAAGCTTGTACTGGTGGAAGATGCCTGATTCAGTTACGTCATGACCATTCCAGAGGATCTCACCAGCTGATGGTTTGGAGAAGCCAGCTAACATGCGCAAGAAAGTAGTTTTGCCTGAGCCATTGGTGCCCATCAGCACAAGTGCACCACCATCGTGAAGGGACACATTTACATGACGCAGGATTTGTTGGGCATTTCTCATGCAAGAGACATTGTTAAGAAGGAGACGAGGAAGTGGGGGTTTTCGGAGGAACATCGAGGCAGGGATGTCAGGGTCGAGGATATTTAAAACATATTCAATGTTTATTATTTGGGTAAGGTTAATAGAAAAAACCCAATAAAAATCAATGTAGCTAATTTGATTTGGAGCTTTTAGGATCCAAGTGAAAATTACAGCCTAGAGATTTCCTGTCAAATTTGGGAAAACAGAAACAAATTAAAATTACCTCAACTTTGATGAATTCCATGAGTGCATAAATTAGTTGCACTCTAAAAAATAAGTTCCATGGTCTTAATGAGTGCATAAATTAGTTACACCCTAAAAAATAATTACCAAAGAAAAACAATAAACCAAAACCAACTCGACAGGTGAGAGGATACAATATTCAACTAGTGAAACTTAATAAATATCAAACTGTATCATTAAGCTACAGCCATAAGTATACAAATAACAATCCCCACTAAGTGGAAAATAAATATAAAGTCAATGCACAAGGATAATGGAACAACGGACACACCTCATATATGTTTAAAAGCTAACAGTTGTTCTTTAGATTGGAGTAGCAGGAGTTAAGGGTCCCAAAGACCAAATGTGATTTCAATCCAATGGTGGAAGGTAGGAATCTTTTTATGCATACAAATCTGGAAAATAATGTACAAAAGGAGACTGAAATATGGCATGCCGCCTATTCCCTACCTGAAACTAAATCAAGACAAACCCATATTTAGTTCTCCATCAAGGATTAAAGAGTCATAGTTGCGCACCTATTGTGAAAATGATAGGCAGAATTAATCTACAGGTTATCATTTTAGTCAAGAAAACACCATCAAGGCAATGGCAATACCATCAGCTATCACCCAAATTGTCTGACTCATCAACAGAACTGCGTAAAATAATTGGCTATATTGTGACAGTCCGAGTCATCAAAACGCAAAAATAAAATTAGTACACCTTTCCACTTTAACAGTAGTCACATAGGATTAGCACACCAAGATGGTTACGCCAACATTTCTAGATTCATAGGTTTGTTCATGTTAAACCAAACTACTAGAAATCTGTTTTGACCTCAAGTCTATGGAATGCTCGAAGACACAATTTTCTTCGTACAATCAAGAGAGCAGACACAATTTTTCAGCATAAAATGTCTAAAATAAGTTGTTGGGCATGTGCTTTGAAAAATAAAATTAACCTAATTAAAATCTTTCTCTACATGTCTAGCTATCACCATTGATTAAAAGTACACGCAAACAGAGCAACCCAGTTGAATTCTTCTTTCTTATGCTGCCATTTTGTGAAATTTAGTTTCCAAAAAAACAAAAACTGTCAAGTGGTTAGGAAAAGCCAAAACAGTTGGTTGCTTTTCACCTTTTTCTTTTATTGAATGAAGGTGATTGTCCCTATAATGTAATGAGCATGAAATTAGACTTTGACTCTTGGCATCCAAATGGATGGTGCTCAGTACCCAACTCCTTCAATTTCTTTTATCCTACTTTTGAATTGGACTGCCCAAATCCTTTGAATGATCAACTAATCACTGTAGCTGTCTCACAGGTTTATTTTAACTTCTTGTTTTCAGTTTTCAAAATCTTTGTTAATGTCCCCTTTTTGTTATTCAAACAACGTGCCACAGAATAATGAATATAGCAGGTGTATCTAGCAAAATCATGAGTAATGTGAATAACATTGATCGTCAAAAAGCATAATTTACAGTTAGGGTTTGTTCCAAGGGAAAAGAAGAGAAGAATAGAAAAAAGAAAAGATCCAAAAGGGAAGGAGAGCTTACATGGAAGTTGTCAGATCTCCAATCGTCAACTGTGGCAGAGGAGAGAAATGAGAGCCCAGAGTGAGGGCTGAGCATTAAGATGTGGTTTGAGGGCCATTGTGTTAATTTATATGACTTAAGAAGGGTTCGGAATGACAAAATTAGGATTGTTATTGGGTCGGATAGAATTCATATTCTGTTAAGCTAGGTCGTGTACATAATTATTTAATTTATAGGTTACTTCTTTATAAACTAGCAATAACCCGTGCTAAGAACGGCAAGTGTTGATAAGTTTATTATATAATAGATAAAATCTTTGTAAACTCAAACTATACCTAGAATTAAATGAAGTTTTTTGCATGATTAGCATTCATATGTTTAGACAAATTTCAAGTGTAGTAACATATGATATTTGTGTCTTCATTCCTTAACACGTGAGACATGAGAAATCATAGACAAAATTATGATTCAAGAATGTATCCGGTGCAAAACCTAAGGCAATACCAATAATGCCCATATCACAAAGCATATGTTTCAACGGTAGAGTAAATGGTAGACCACAAAAAAGTATATCTTTNTTAAGAAGGAGACGAGGAAGTGGGGGTTTTCGGAGGAACATCGAGGCAGGGATGTCAGGGTCGAGGATATTTAAAACATATTCAATGTTTATTATTTGGGTAAGGTTAATAGAAAAAACCCAATAAAAATCAATGTAGCTAATTTGATTTGGAGCTTTTAGGATCCAAGTGAAAATTACAGCCTAGAGATTTCCTGTCAAATTTGGGAAAACAGAAACAAATTAAAATTACCTCAACTTTGATGAATTCCATGAGTGCATAAATTAGTTGCACTCTAAAAAATAAGTTCCATGGTCTTAATGAGTGCATAAATTAGTTACACCCTAAAAAATAATTACCAAAGAAAAACAATAAACCAAAACCAACTCGACAGGTGAGAGGATACAATATTCAACTAGTGAAACTTGATAAATATCAAACTGTATCATTAAGCTACAGCCATAAGTATACAAATAACAATCCCCACTAAGTGGAAAATAAATATAAAGTCAATGCACAAGGATAATGGAACAACTGACACACCTCATATATGTTTAAAAGCTAGCAGTTGTTCTTTAGATTGGAGTAGCAGGAGTTAAGGGTCCCAAAGACCAAATGTGATTTCAATCCAATGGTGGAAGGTAGGAATCTTTTTATGCATACAAATCTGGAAAATAATGTACAAAAGGAGACTGAAATATGGCATGCCGCCTATTCCCTACCTGAAACTAAATCAAGACAAACCCATATTTAGTTCTCCATCAAGGATTAAAGAGTCATAGTTGCGCACCTATTGTGAAAATGATAGGCAGAATTAATCTACAGGTTATCATTTTAGTCAAGAAAACACCATCAAGGCAATGGCAATACCATCAGCTATCACCCAAATTGTCTGACTCATCAACAGAACTGCGTAAAATAATTGGCTATATTGTGACAGTCCGAGTCATCAAAACGCAAAAATAAAATTAGTACACCTTTCCACTTTAACAGTAGTCACATAGGATTAGCACACCAAGATGGTTACGCCAACATTTCTAGATTCATAGGTTTGTTCCTGTTAAACCAAACTACTAGAAATCTGTTTTGACCTCAAGTCTATGGAATGCTCGAAGACCCAATTTTCTTCGTACAATCAAGAGAGCAGACACAATTTTTCAGCATAAAATGTCTAAAATAAGTTGTTGGGCATGTGCTTTGAAAAATAAAATTAACCTAATTAAAATCTTTCTCTACATGTCTAGCTATCACCATTGATTAAAAGTACACGCAAACAGAGCAACCCAGTTGAATTCTTCTTTCTTATGCTGCCATTTTGTGAAATTTAGTTTCCAAAAAAACAAAAACTGTCAAGTGGTTAGGAAAAGCCAAAACAGTTGGTTGTTTTTCACCTTTTTCTTTTATTGAATGAAGGTGATTGTCCCTATAATGTAATGTGCATGAAATTAGACTTTGACTCTTGGCATCCAAATGGTTGGTGCTCAGTACCCAACTCCTTCAATTTCTTTTATCCTACTTTTGAATTGGAGTGCCCAAATCCTTTGAATGATCAACTAATCACTGTAGCTGTCTCACAGGTTTATTTTAACTTCTTGTTTTCAGTTTTCAAAATCTTTGTTAATGTCCCCTTTTTGTTATTCAAACAACGTGCCACAGAATAATGAATATAGCAGGTGTATCTAGCAAAATCATGAGTAATGTGAATAACATTGATCGTCAAAAAGCATAATTTACAGTTAGGGTTTGTTCCAAGGGAAAAGAAGAGAAGAATAGAAAAAAGAAAAGATCCAAAAGGGAAGGAGAGCTTACATGGAAGTTGTCAGATCTCCAATCATCAACTGTGGCAGAGGAGAGAAATGAGAGCCCAGAGTGAGGGCTGAGCATTAAGATGTGGTTTGAGGGCCATTGTGTTAATTTATATGTCTTAATAAGGGTTCGGAATGACAAAATTAGGATTGTTATTGGGTCGGATAGAATTCATATTCTGTTAAGCTAGGTCGTGTACATAATTATTTAATTTATAGGTTACTTCTTTATAAACTAGCAATAACCCGTGCTAAGAACGGCAAGTGTTGATAAGTTTATTATATAATAGATAAAATCTTTGTAAACTCAAACTATACCTAGAATTAAATGAAGTTTTTTGCATGATTAGCATTCATATGTTTAGACAAATTTCAAGTGTAGTAACATATGATATTTGTGTCTTCATTCCTTNCATTTTCTCTACCACGAAAATTAGATGGCTATAAAAGATATACACTGTCATGAAAATATAACTTTCTTCATTTTTTCTTTCTTCTTCTACTCCTCCTTACTATCTTTCAAGTTCGTAACAACTTGAACTTCTTACAAAGTATACACACCACCACCACCACCACTGCCATTAGATTCATACAATAACTAAGGCATTTCCTCCAAGTAAATATCACAGAACAGGCCGGTCGACGATTGTGCTAGTGTGGGAAAACACCAACACCATCAACTGATGACACGACTAATCAAGCAAAATCACTAAACAGTCGGTCAAGGATTGGGCCTATCTGGCATTTTCTCGATCATCTAGTATGCATCAAAACAAATCCCTCTGGTTCATTGCAAAAAAACTCTATATCACCCAAATCAGCAACATATATGACTGAAATACTTATATTTTGTTTTTCAAAACTAACAAAACACAGCAAGAGTCAGTAGTGATAGAACCCCAAACAATAACA